GGAAATTCAGCCGCGAAATTCGCGTCATTGTTACGAGATATCGAGAGTTGCCAAGTGTCCGCGGCGATCTGTCAATTAACGAGTACGCGATCGCTAACTAGAGATGAAACGTCAAGAGTCGGATTGCCTAATGGCTTAGGTTAAACGTGACTTCGCGAGTTCAGGACCGACAGTTCGTTGTTCTCACGCTATTCTATACTTTTTATTATTATTTCGGACTACGTAACTGAAACCATATAGTTATAAGAGTTTCAACATCTAACAACATTCAAATCACGTCAAACTATAGAGAGTCCACAACCCAACACTCATAAATCCTCGTAAATCCCCATTAATTGTCATTAAAATAAATTTTTAATGGCCTTTATTAAACACATTTGCTTAATTTACAATACAATTAAAGATGTGTCACGCAATAGAGCAGCTATTTAAAAAGCGCTGACAACCCACGCCCCAACAATGACATTCACATGCAATGACACAACAATCCGCTCCCCCCTCCCCTGCTCCGCGAAGTTTCGCGACCTGTCCGATGGCAAGGCACGCCGCGCTCCGACGCAACACAATTAGCGGCCGGACAAAGCCGGATGCGTCGCGGGTCGCGGATCGCGTGTTGACGTCGCGTCACCCCCGCCCCCGCCGCCGTCACCGCTGCTCAGCAGCGCGTCTCGACGCCACTGACTCACGCGCAAATTAGCGGCCGAAGATCGTATCTGGGCGGCTGGATCGGGAGCTACGCCATTCGGCTGGGCCGCGCCGCGTCGCGCCGCGCCGCCGTCAGCGCTCCGGGCACAGGAAACGACGAGACGAGACGAGGCGCGGCGCGGTGCGCGGAGACAGCGCACGCACGCATGGACGGACGGTCGGACGGACAAGGCGCGCGGACAGGGGCACGCGAGCGGGACAAAGGAGAGCGCCGATTGCGCGCCTGGGCGCAGGCAGCTGTTTTTCGGGTGGAGGTTAATGATCGCTTGCCTTGGCGGACAGCCCAAATCCTGGCGGGTGTGGGAAAGACCACGGTCTGATCTGGGATCTTGTACTTCGCTAATAACGCAGGGTTATTGTGTGTTATTAAGCGAAATGTGTGTAGAAACGGAAGACCTCACAGCCACCTATGTCAGCTGAGAATTGTCTCCAAATGAGTTGCCCTTCACTGGCGAGAGACGTGCGGCCGTTTCGAGATTCTTGACTGTTTTATAGATTTACTTACTTACTTACTTATTTCGAAAATGCAAATGAAATGCATGACGAAAAATCAAGAAACCGATAGTAAGTTAAGATCACAGTAGGAATTCAAATGAACAAAAAATTTCGTGCCCTTAGAGAAGAATATTTCAATTTTTCATTGCAGCTTGAATTAGATTTGAACTAAATAAGATAGCTAAATATCTTATCAGAAAACAGGTACTTGTAGATCTAATGCTCTAGTCACATTGTAATAACACAAAAATTCTTGTCTATTTTGTTCTGTAACTGCCTAACCTTTGACTCTTTCCTTCCGGGGGCCTAGTGGTCACAAGAGGGGCGGAGTTTGGCGAGTGGGGAAAATACGGAAGGACCTGCCAGGGCCCCGCTGCACTGGGGCCGAGCCCAGTTCAGCGGCGTTCCGAGTGCCCCGCTTTCCTTCCATTGTGGTTAGTCTGCGAGACGAGGGGGCGGCAAAAGGGCCCACGGCTGGAAACGTCCAGCGCGGGCACCAGAAGGTCACCGCGAGACAGTGACCCGAAACGCCACCATACGCGCATTTAAGATTTCGCGTAGCATGTTCACGAACGCAAGTCGCAAATAAATTAATTAAAAAAAAAAAACTACGTATAATAGGCAAGTTCTTTTTTTTTCACGGCGTACTTATTTTCAATGTTTTCCCTTCATACTATTAATCGAGAAATGCATCTGAATGTCTCTTTCGTCTAAATATTCGTTTAGACGCACGTAATGAAGTGCAGATAATCTCACTTTTTATTATTGCCCCATGTTTAAATACGAAATTACAATTTCATGAATCATTGCCTCTATTTCGCCAGTAGGAGAGCTGAAAATAACTGCTATTGATCAATAAACGATTTTAACTCACACTTTTTATATTTACCGCATTGAAAGCGTCCGTATGCGTCTTCTTTTTGTAGAAGAGGGGCAGGATCAAGAAACAAGCCTATTTGTATTAATTCCTTCCAAGCGAGTGGCCGCGTTTCGGCGTGCCGGCCCTTGCGCCCGCTCGGGCCCAGTGTGCGCGCCGTCGCCGCCCTGCCAGCGGGGGCCCCGCAGGCGGCGGTTGAAGGCGGCGCGGGGCGGGTCGACTAGCCGCGCCGCGCCGCACATCTGTTGCTTCCTGCGCCCGCGCGCACTTGTTGCTTCGATCGATGGGCGGCGCTGCCCCGCCGCAGCCGCTCGGCCCCACGAAAGGCGACGAGGACGGACGGGTGGGTGGGAGCAGAGTGTGAATGAGGGAAAGCCACGTCTACGCGATTCATTCAGTGAATATTCAGACAGGGCATTTACGTAGGAAGGTATCAATGGCGGAGATGGATCTATACAACCTCTGGCACCAAAACGATTATTCCACTCAGTGCAGGAAAAGTTCTTACGATTGGTAAGATACCGAAAGTTGGTAGGTTAATAATTACCAGAAATTAAAGAAAAATTATCGATCTAAATCCGAAGCGATACATGAATGCGAGTGTTGAATTGAAATGAGTAGTACGCCTACAGTGAAAGACACGTTAAACCATGGAGCTGAGCGTGCAATAAATGACCTGCGTGCAGAAGGGTTGATAATGAAATGAAAGAGATGTACCAGAGGAAACTTGACGTCCCCACTACGAATTGCAAAATAATAGAAATTGCAGCCAAATTCTTCTAACAGAAATCGTTGATCTGAGATAACTCGATTTTTTTCTAATCTTACAATGGGAATACGACTGTCAATGTCAGATAATCCATCTCTCTAGAGCAACATTAAACTCTTGCCATCACATCTTCACGAGTATTTTCTGAACTGATAGAAGTCCGGAAGATCTCGGCGAGGACAAAACAGTCGTAAACAACAGCACGAAACCAAACAGGAAAGATGTCCGCGACGCTCGCAGCAGCTTGATTCCCACCGGCCCTGTACCTTGGCGCTGCCACTCACCTGTCACATGAGGTATCTCCGCGTGCGTCCGCTCGCTATCGGCCCGGCTCGGCCAGGCAAGCAGAGCTTCGCGCGCCCGCCGCAACGTCGCGCCGTGCCGACCGCCTGGATCACGCACCCGCCTCCACCCACCTTCATTCGATAACTCGAAGCTCTTCGGTTGAGCCGTTCACTGCGACGGAAACTACGATTTCGGAAAGTCGTCTTATTGTAGACACTTCGCTCTATATTTACTCAGCGCACACGATTTTTTTTATGGCCTACGATTTTAAGAACGAATTATTAACTTTTTAATGAATATTTTTATTTTGTTCCATTGCGTTGGTTTTATTTAATTTTGAATTTTTGAAGTATACATGTCACAGAAATATTTGCATAGTTGCTTTTTTTAGTTCATCGTCTACTAAAAAGAGACTAAGACTAGATGATGAAATCTCCAACTATGTTTCGAACAATAAATAATATTCAAATCAAGTCGCAAAACACTATAAACGTGTTAGGTACTAAACTACGAAATTTATGTGTAGAAATATAATCGCTTTCGTGTTTTAGTAAGTAAACTAGACTGCAAGTATTTTTGAAACTGTTATTGTTTTTTGTAGACAGCATTCTAGCAATCAACTTAGAGATAAAATAAAAAGTATTTTCTGAAATTTCTCCACAAACAATGCCCCGGAATCCTACGATTTATCTCGTCAAATAATCCATTAAACTCTGAACTCCCGAGTCCCTGTGTGCAAACATCCCGATGAATCGAGTGGTACAGAATTTCTGAATAGATTTCAAGTAGGTCAGACTCACCATCAACATTTCATACATCATCTTGTCAAGCTCATATCTGTCTCCTTGAGTATTCAACAAAACAGTACGCAACTTGAACCACGCGCCTCAATTAAAACTAACTAAACATAACCTCTTCCGTAACTATTAACCTCTTTCATTAGGTAGAGTGACAACCTGATCTTTACGAACGTAATAGCTTTCTCTCGTCAGCAGTGAAACGTGAACATATCCAATGACGAAAAGCCTCCTGTTTGACGGTAGCACCGAGTAACGCAACGCCGAGCAACACAATGTAGATCACGACCCCGGGCGACGCACGGCTAGTCCGCATGTTGTTTATGGATGAAGTATCGTGTCCCGGCCTTGGTACATGCCTCGAGGCGCACCTCGGCAATTCCTGTTCGCTCATGAAGCTCTTAAGGATATTGTTTCTACGCCGTTAAACTGCATTTTATTTCGTCCGCGCTTGATTTACTTCGGAAGAAGTCAACCAGAAAGTGAAGGTACATTGCATCTGGACGTAATCAGTGGAGAGAACGATTGCTGAGTGAACTCCGTTTTCGAAAACAAAACAATGTGAAGTTACGACAGAATTACTTAGGTCCGAAAATGTTATTGTAAACTCTTCCTTAAAACTGCCTTCATCCCTAGGAGTGATAAAGCTATTTTCTGACTAGGTGAAAAAAATAAAGGATGTATAGTGCAAAATGCAAGCACCATTCAACAATAAAATATTTCATTTGAAATTTCAAACTCAATTCCTGCTACAAATCAATACACCAGACAGAATTGACTCCACAAATATATAGTAACGAAGATAAATATAAATCAAATATCTGTTGTTTGATAGAAAACGTCAACTTTTTTTTCGTATGAAGCAACGATTCGTCGTGATATTTCGAGCGGGCTTCGTACTTCGTTTCTCTGCTACAGCTCGAACGAGTGTACTCCCTTTCTGCATTTGGAGGGGAAATAAGAGCGAAGACAGGGGAAGTTCTCTGAGCTCGCAAAAGGGCAAGAAGAGCGTGTGCTCGCACATTAACATGCCCATCGTACGCTGTTAAACTCCTAACTCCCCATTTTACATTTATCCCCCCGAACTCCAGCAGGTGTCCGGATGGGCCTCGAGATGCCGCCAGCCGGGGCAGCCTTCTGCCTTCTGCGTGGGAGGGGCAGGGCAGAGCAGGGCGAGCGGTAGGTCGCGGGCGCGCGGATGGACAGCCCTGGGCGCCGATGGGGGCACAAAGCGCGCGTTAAGCGTCGTTAAGCGGCACTCGCGGAGGTTGGCGACGCCGCGTCCCGGTGCCCCCTCCCACGTCGTTTCGATGAACCCATGGCCCACGGTGTCGGGACACGCTCGCACAGATACATCGGCGCAGAACAAAGAAGTTCAGAATGTAGGGGAAAAGTATTAAGAAACGGACGGAAAGAAGGGAGAGGTCGGTAGGGGTAAAGACAAACGGTCAGAATGACGGGAAAAAATAAGAAAATAAGAAAAGGGGAAAAAAGGAAGGTAAATGGAGAGAAGCAAGGAAGAAGAAAGAAAGAAAGAAAGAAAGAAAAAGAAAGAGAGAAAGAAAGAAAGAAAGAAAGAAAGAAAGAAAGAAAGAAAAAGGCAGGAATAGAAACATTTAAATGTTAACCGACCTGTGATGGATGAACACGGATGCGAAGGGCTAACTAACGAACCAACAACGGTTTCAAATATTAAGCCCTTATTTACTGAAGGAACCTTCATTATGAACTTCTTTGTTAAGCAAAAACCCAGTCAGTTTGCGTGGGAGGAAACGAAAATAGTCTCGGCATTTTAGAAATAAATTGTAATAGTTTTCTTTTTTCCATTCGTTTGCGTACTTCGATCCTTTACCGTGATCTAGGTCAGACATTACTTTTTGGACTGAATTGAAAATCTATGAGTCATAGAATACATTCAGAGAAAGAAAAAGATACAGCGTTCAAGAATTTTAAAACCAGTAATGTACGATTAAAATAACTGTTGAAACTGTTGATATGTGTTAAATCTTTTGTTGACGATTGTTTTTTTATTTAGTGTCAATAACATTAAAAAATTAGTGTACGTGCATCACAACACTCATAAGACTACTTCATTTCCCGCACCACATATCTTTGGAATAGCTTCCATTCTATTACTGCAGTCCAAAAAAATATCCTCAGTATAGTTTCTTCCCATGAAGAAAAGGTGACTTTAAAAACATCATTCGTGGCAATTTTCAAGTTACACTTGCACACACACCGATGGCAAATAATTCACGCCACATCTGAATAGTTCCATCAACATCAATGAATAAAAAAAATAAATTTGCAGTCTGTCACAACTACTCAGACCAAATGACCATGTCCCTCGCCCGCTCTAGTAACTAATAGCAGGAACAAAATGGCACAAGAGAGCACTGTTTAATGATAAAATAAGGCATAGGCGCTCTTTTTAAATTATTTAATATTTTATTCATTTAAACAAAACTTGTTAAAAAATTCAATATTTTTAGTTCATTGGATATCAATTTATAATTCCAGAAATTTTAGAAAAGTAATATATGGAACTGATGAAATAAAATTCTTTTATTTGATGTAGGTTGTAATATCTTTAAAGTAAAGTTTCACTGGAGAGAGAAAAGAACATATATCGGTACAACCACTGAGGATATTTTTCGGACCGCAGTGTAGCGTACTTGTACGAGTATGTTTGACTGGCGTCCTACCTTTGACGATGTTGAGCCTGAGCTGCTCCTTCTCCCAAGAGGCGAAGGACGCCTTCAGCGCCTCCGTCATCTTCTTGTTGGTGCCCGGCGTGAGCGGGGGCACCTGCGTCGGAATATCTGCAAGCAGGGAACACGGAGCGTCAGAGCGCTGTGAATAGGAACCTGCAAGACAGATGCCGGCAGGTTAGCGACTCGGCCTGCACGCAATCAAGAAACGCTAACTAGTCATGACTGACAACATAAATGAAAGATCACTCATTTAACATGGAGCCTTTTGACGTGTGTGTCTAAAGGTCCAAGACGTTCACAAGACTTTTCTGTGCCTCGTGTCGCTACATTTGTCCGTCAGTCCCTCTACCAGTCTCTTCTTCTCTCCCTCTGCCAGTCTCCCCGTTCGTCCCTCCTACACTCTCTCCGTCTGTCCCTCCGACTCTCTTTCCGTCATCCGTCGTCGTTTCCGTCGTCCTTGCTTTGTTAACAGAAACACGATGAAGGATATTTACTTAATTTTATATATTTATCCAGATCCCACTACGACTATCACCTTAATTTTGAGCGAAAATACGGGGAACGATCTTCAGGTCAAAAGAGGGGAACGAGAAAAGGAAAGGACAAGAGAAAAGCCAGGAAACGAAAATTTAAAAAAAGGACGAGCGTTTCCAGCATTTCATTCAAACAGAGCTCGGCGGCGGAGGGGGGGCGGGCTAAACACTCGAGATGTCCCTACGATTTATCGGCCGACGCGAGTTTACGGGCCCGCAAGCCGCGCGCTCTAAACAAGTGGAGCGTTTATTTAGAAAAAACCGCGCGTATTATACACGAGCGACGGGCCTCCTCAGGCAGAACTAGCGCGAAATATACGAGACAGGTGACAAGACGCAGGAGCGCGCAGCGGCAGGGGCTTCCACGGCGGGCGGCGCCTGCGAGACGACCGGCACGGACAGCGTGGAGGGCCCGCGCTGCAGAGCGGCGGGAAGCGACATCCATGTCTTTTCAATACATCGCTATCTTTATGGAAACTAAGATGTTTCAAACATCGATTTAATAATGCGTCCCATGTACAGAATGTGTTTTTTCAGGAGGTGCTTGTGGTATAGTAGGTTCTCATGCCAACATCTATATATTCGCACATCATTACATTCAACATGCATTGCATGGTTGACATCACACGCATTCAATGGTAAATCCATTGACAATTTTATTTTGAGAAAAAAGAAAAATCGCCAAATAAAAAGACAATATGTAGAGGAGATACATATATCCAATGAAAAATGAACACCAAAAATGTGTAAATGAGTACATGAGTAAACGTACATAATTGCACTAAACCAAATTCCAGGAGATTCTGTGTAACCTAACGAATGACTCAAAAACTGGTGTTTTTTTAAACATAATTTACTTAAAACAGTAAAAATGTAAGTTTTGAAAGAGGTGATTAAGGGTGACCTGCATGACTTCATCAAGAACAAGACCAGAAAGGCCTGTCGACGCGAGAAGAGAGAATAAAAAACAGGGGCGCAGGGACGGTCGATTCAAAGCCCTGGACGCGAGCTGCTCCTGCAGGCACTTGGGCCGCGGCGGAGCGGAGTGGGTCGAGGGCGGAGGGGCGGCCGGCCCGGCCCGGCCCGCCCGCAACGGATCGGTGCGTCTCCAAATTGTTCCAGCGCTCGTTAGGGGCCGTCGCTGGGGCGGCGGAGGGCGAGGACGCGTAGGCGGCCGCGGCGGCAGGACCGCAACCGCCCCAAGGCGAAGCACAAACGGATCGACGAGAGGAAGAAAGCTAAGAAGGAACAGGGGGACAATCGAAAAAGCAACCATGATAAGAAGAAAAGAAGCAGGAGGTGTGTTAAGATAAGAAAACAATAAAATGAAAAAGATACTCATGAAGGTGTGACAAACTTGATTCGACACTAAACTGATATGTGAAGTGATGACATACATGGCTTTGTGAGAGTGAGAGAGAGAGAGAGAGAGAGAGAGAGAGAGAGAGAGAGAGAGAGAAAGTAGAAAGTAGAAAAATCTAGAAAGTAGTCTTCAATATGACGAAGATAGAAAAAACAACGATCATGGCTGACTATTTATGAATGTATTTCAAAATAGCTCTGTAAATGAAAAAATGATGTCAATAGTGAGGTTTATCAACCAAGAAATAATTCCCCTAGTGCCAATCCTTCCCTTCTCTTCAACCTTTAGTTAAAGGATAAACTATATCAGTATCTGCTTTGAAAACACCGCAGAGTATCCGCTGATATTGTTACGAACTAATTCCAGTAAAAAAGAGATTAAAATATGTAGCAGAGAAATGGCAGAATTTAGGAAAGACAGTCACAAGAACAACACGTGGAGTGGGGAAGCAGCGAAGTGGCGAAGAGAGAGGCAGAGATTGCAGGCGCCGAGGGTGCGGGCCGGGGTGGCGAGCAGACGCAGGGGCTGCTCAGTGGGGCAGTGCTTGTGCCCGCATAGGCCTTCGCCCGGCCAACGGCACACTAGGGACGCGTTGCCATATTTCTCACACGCTGCCTCACGCCCCTCCCCGCATCTCTTAGCTCTGCCCTGGACCGAAGTCACCGATTTACCACACACTAATACGAATAATCCCTCACAAACGTGATTTCTTTTTTAAGGTTTAGAATTCGGAAACACCGACAATTTCACGAGTGGTTAGTAAGAGTTCCACAATAATTACACGTTCGTTGGCTCTGCTAATATCAGGACAAACTTTCAAACTAAAACAAAAGTAAGTTTTATACAAGAAACATTCAAACGTACTTAGCAGTACGTAGAATGGACAATTTTTTTTCTTCACTTTCTACTCGAGTATTCATTTTGAAATAAATAGTATGCAAATAGTCTGGACAAAAATCTCATATTCCACCACTGCTCTGAACGTCTGCCGTAAGCCCTCTCTCTTTCTAATTATCATAAATAAGAGCGTGGCCGACACCACGTGATTAAATAAATCTCCCGACTAACAAGAGCGCATCGTTCTCCGCCGTGTCAGATCACACCATTACGAGGGTACGTGGGTGGGTTGAGAGGTGTAGCGCCAAGCGCTGCCCCCCCCTCCCCCATCTCCGAGGTGGGTAATGAAGGACAAGTGGTTGCTAAGCCCAGCGACAGGTTCATCGCTCCGTAATAGCGCGCCCCGACTCGCGTCTTTCCCACGCGGAGCGACGCGGCGCGGAGCGGCGGTGAGACAAACTCTGCCGCCCGCGAATAGCTTCCAAGAAGTTGCGAGCACGTCGGTTCTCTCTCAGAGCACTCTCATACTTGCTTATTGCGCTGGACAAAGAAGTCATGCTGTCAGCTGCAGTGCTCTACGGTAAGAAATTGGGATAATCATCGGGTGAGGTGTCAACCAAAAGAAACAAATTGCAAGTCGGATGAAACTTTTATAAGATTCAAACAAGACCTATCTCTGGAACCCAAAGCCGAGTAAAAGACGTTTCACGGACATTCATTAAAAATCACTTGAAATACTACTTTTCGAACACTCCGTTCATTCTTGTCAACCAAAGTACACACATCTTCCGCCTTCATATTCAAGGAGACTGCATCGCAAACTTGGAATTGTAGATAAAGAATAAACGACACAGAAAATAATAACTATCCGTTGTTGATAATCACATTTCCACAAAAAATGGAATTCACAGAATAACTCCTATAATTATCCTAAACACAACATTTCGGGCCTCGACTCCCTATTTCCCGTCGCAACGATCGCGCGTGTAGAGCCTACAAAGGCAGGGCAGACGTCATCGCCCGGGCAGCAGGCCTCCGCCTCGCGACACCGCGCGCTCGCCCCTAATGCGTCTTTAAAGACAAAATAATCCACGGCGAGCGCAGGGCTCAGGGCGGGCGGCTCTCGCGGTTTTTTGCGGCGGCGGCGACGCGCGCGCGGGCTGAGCGCACCACAGGCACTCAGGCTCGCCTCGCGACACGAGCGACGAGGAAGGGCAGGAAGTGGAGAGAAGAACTAGCTGGATCACAATTATGGGGTTTCCGAGTCTCCTCGATCGAGAAAACACGATTTTTGTGAAGAGGGTCAGAAATAAACCACGCATTGTTGAATAAACTAAAGTCGAAATTCTCGGATCCATGAATTATTGCATGGAGATAACGCTATAAATACGTTTAGAACTTTGTTAACTACACTAGTGTATAAATATGTTTTAAATAAGTATTTATAAAGTTCTATACTAACATGCAGAATGGCATAATATACGAATGAGATAAGACCGCTGAAAATGACTATTCTTAGTTTTCAATAATATTAATTAACGATGTGTTAGTTTCCGAAATGATAATAACAGCACTCTGGCGTGTCTCAGTAAAACTAGAAGAAAATAGCTTAGTTGGATGTTCAAAATACTATATATTTAATTAGAAAATTTAAGATTATTTACTTCTGGAATGAGGAATCATTGTAAATGATCCTTCACCGCGATATTTTCTCTTCCTGTTCAAGCTAACAAACAAATTAGATTGTTCATTATGCAGAGAAGTTTATTTCTCGAGCAGCCACGCTTATGCTGGAGTAAATAAAATATTTTACTATATCTCATGTTCCCCGAGATCGGACGCTAGGGAAATTCAACTCCACTCAAGTGCGGCCGCTCCATCGTCCAGACGCACGCAGTCATGAGCGGCCTCGCCAGCGCTACACTAGTCCGCCGCCCGTTCGCTCCCCTCAGCGGAGCGGCATTGTGCGGCCCTCGCGTACAGGAGCCCGCGCGGTGGTGGTGCGCGTCAGCTACGCAGCCTGGCTCAAGGCGCAGCCAGTCTGCCCCGCCGCCATCAATGGCGCTCCCCGCCCCCGGGCGCCATGTGCGCCGCCGCCGCCGCAAGGTGGGAGGCGGGGCGGGGGCGGAAAGAAACGGCCGCCGAGGGATGGGCGCCGACATGTGCCCTCGGGAGACCGGGCGAGGGCATTTCTCAATACGGGGGATGCCGTGTATAATGAATGCCACGAATGACAATAAACTTATGGCGCGCGATGTTTGGAACAGACAATGAAAGAAAAGTTTCTTAGGAGAAAAGCGGAAGATATTCGTCAAAAATTCTTTGATCGAGGTTAGCTGAACTTTCAGTTCACGATTTTAAAATCGACATAAATATATGAACCATATAAAGACGAGTCAAAAACTTGCAGTCGAAAATTTACTTTCGCCCTGAATAATACTCAAGATCACTCACTGAATTTTTGGCCATTTCATGTTATAGCAAAAAACGAAGTATAAAAAAACCAACATCGAGGATTCACTTAGTACACAAGTTATTGTGATACAAGTTTCAGGAAATAGAAGTTTATATACGAGTTATAAATTTGTTAGTAATTTTTAGGCGCTTGCTTGTGGGAGTGAAAGGGAGGATGAGGAAGGAGAGAACGACAATCCATGGCCCATTTATTACGATATGTCTTCGCCATTCGTCTGGCATTGATCGGAGAAACCACGAATAACTATAAGAGATCCGGCCATTAGATTTCCCCTCCCGACGCTCGCCGCATTCGACCTAGCAATTAAGCTGGTGTGAAAATCCGCCTCCGTCGGATGTCGAACCCCGGAATTGCCACCCGTGAGCCGCGGCAGCCGGCCCCAGCGCAGTCGCTCCAACCAGCAGCGCTCGCGAAGCGCCGGCGAGCGGCGGCGGCCGCCGTCCGCACGCAGCCCGCGGGGCGCACGCGCCGCCGACCGGCACAGGTGGGCGTGTTTGCGGCGCGCGCGGACGGCGCCTTCGAGAGAGATTTTAATCCAATTTCGTGCTGATGCATTGCGGTTCGGGATATTTTCTTGATAGGAACACAACACTTGTTACAATGTAGTATGTGCTTAACGATTGCGTTTAACGAAATATAAAGTAATGAAGTACGACGAAATACAATTGGATAAGCTTCTCTTAAACTAGTCCATCCTCAAATACAACAGCGCTTAAACCAAATAATTCAATAACGGAAGTAGAAAATAATATTTTTGCACAAGGTCCGGATACGGCAAAAAGACCTAGGCTCTACTTCCTAACGAGAAAATGCCCCGCGTCTACAGATAGGACACCCACTAGACGAAAGCTTCTTACGCGCACTCATGAGGCCCGTACAACGCCTCCCTCCCCGCACGGCACGGCGCAATGTGGACGCCACGGCCACCGAGAGGAATTTTTAATTAATATTCGATCTTATAGGCGGGTCATGTGTCGCCGGCGGCAACAGCGGTGAGGCCGGGCACGCCGTTGCCGCCCCTCTCGACCCCCCCCGCCCTCGTCCGACTCTGCGAAAGAACGCATATCTTACGCGCTCGTGTCCAGCAGAAGGGCTTGAACTATATAAGACATAAATTACCAGCGTGCAGTAGCCGAAAACGCAGGGCTCTGAAGCACGAGGGGGCGCGAGGGAGTGGGTGCGGGGCGGGCAAGGGGCGGGTGGGAGGGGGTCGGGGGCGGTGCTGCTGATGCTTCTTTTCCGGTGACTTGATGTGTATGCAGCCGGGTCTTTTCTTCCGTTCGTGCGGCAATTGTGACTGCGGTGAGTAGCGTCAAAACGTGGGTAATTTTTCGAATGAAAAGAAACCAAAAAAAAGAAAGCACTTCGATGATATAATAAAAAAGGGGGA